TTAATTTGACTGTCCGGTAGAGATTTTTTATTGATAAAGGTAGATAATCTTATAAGGAATCTTGTGTTTCATTTTCAAATCTTAGATTTAAAAAGAAAAATTTTTACGAATTCTTAACTCAAAATAATTTGCTAATTTTCGTGATTTTTCCATATTTTGTCAATTTTTGAACTTTAAATGCTTATAAAAAAAAATTGTGACTAAGGATTTTTAATATTTTTCATCTGCCTTTGAAACAACATATTAGGAGCCTTCTATTAAATTTTCAAGCTTTCGCAACCAACAAATAAAATTTTATTGATATTTTTAGAAAAAAAACTAAAAAAAAATGGAAAATGAAAATGTCCCTAAACAGTTCAAAATAAATCAAAATATTTTGAAAATGTTATCGTGTATAGAAAATGCAAATATTAACAACCAGTGAAAATTTCATGTATATACGTTCATTTGTTTTAGAGTTACACCAATAACCAAAATCGATTTTTTGGAAAACCAATTTTGCGTAAAAATTCCCGTTTTTCCTTAATTTTTATGTTGTTTTTATATTTTTGTGTCTGTCATCACGTTTTAGGACAGTAAAAGTGCTTGGATTTTCTTCATCAGTAGCTTTTCTGATAGGAAAGTGAATCTAGTTGGTACTTTGGGGGGTCAAAAGTATAAATTTCCCAGTAGTTTTCTACTTGAAACTTCTAAAGTGTACTATTAATAATATACAATCACAGTTTATTTTTATAGTCATTTTATGTTCAAATTTGGACGAAATTTCATATTAAAAAACCTAGTTATTTTGTTGTGATTATATAATATTATTCGTGGGTACGGGGTACCTACTTGAAACTTCTAAAGTGTATTATTATATATCGATGATAGTATCAGGGTTTGTTATTGATGTTGATGTATAACGTGTTATAAGTAGGTACCTAATGGATATTGTGATAATGTGATATGATTAATTTGGAATTTACTATAGGTCAATTTTTTTTAATACCATAGATTTGTATATAATTTATCTTAAACCTAGACTGACATACCGTCTTCGCTCAGAATCGTTTTTCTTATACAATGATATAATATAATTGAATTCAAATTTAATAGCATCCATTATACTGTGACCCACTTGTAACCTACTGTACAGCAAAGCACCTTTTTATACACTTTTCTTAAGTTCGGTTTCACGTCCGTCTGTAATCAAATCTTGCGCGCTCGATTTGAGGCACTTTTTGAAGATGAAAAATTCTGAAAATTGGTATAGACATTGGTTTTTGATGACAATACAATAATCCGTAAAAAAAAATTTTTAACTAAAAAGTAGAAAATAAAAAATTTAAAAATTTTTTTTTAAAAACACACTTTTCTAAAAAAACAAAAAAATAATGAAAAATTTAAAAGTGTGTGGCGCTCTTACACTTGACATATTATACCACACACTTTTAAATTTTTCATTATTTTTTTGTTTTTTTAGAAAAGTGTGTTTTTTTTTTATTTTATATTCAATGATAAAATTATTATAGATCCAATGTCATAACTCATAATTCAAAGTATAAATACAAAAATATTAAATATTAAATAAAAAATAAATAGAATAATTATATTTTTTCTGAATTCCAAATCTATAATTAAAATTATAAAGACTATTCATAATATTAGCAAAGATACATATATGTAGAAATATATATAGAATATATGTATAATATATACATATTTTGAATGATCGATACGTCAAATAATACAGTTAAACACATAGTATACAAAAATATTATACAAAATATAGGTAATAAAAATAATATAAATAAATAGGTAACTATAAATAATTTTTGAAAACGTAATATTTTATTTCAGGTATTTAATATTTACAGAATTATACCAACATAAAATGTGTATTAATATAGTAATATAAAATGTTGTTGTTAATTTTTCAAAAATTATTTATAGTTATTTATTTATATTATTTTTATTACCTATATTTTGTATAATATTTTTACCACCTATTTACCAAGAAAATATTATTATCAATAATATTATCATTATCGTTTATCGTCGACGACGATCGATGACGGTATAAGATATCCAAATACATATAGCATTAAATTAAATTATAACTTTGTAGAGTACCTATACTAGTATAGTTAATTGTTGTGGTGCAACTAACATGACTGATCAGAATTTTGATTATTGAACAAATTGTGTTTTTAAAATGCAATAAACAATTTTTGTTATAACAAATTATTTCAGAACTAAAAAGAAAAATAATTTTTTTTTTGTATTTGAAGTTTTTTTCAAATACTTTACTATTTATAGTATTTGGATGGTATTTTAAATACTTTATTTTAAGAGTATTTGAGTAATTACTTAAATAAGTTTAAAAATGTATTTTTTACAACACTGGAAATCAACGACTTACGACTAATATTACTATTAGGTTCATGAAGATTAGAGATAAAGGTTTCAAAGTTTGTTGCTCATTTTACTTTTTACAACAATAGTTTATACCTACTCTATTTAGAAAGGTACCAGGTGGTTGATGGCCAACAGATGTCCATAATTTTTCAGAAAATAAATGAACCAATTGGTAAGTACTGAACGTTAGTAATCCATGAAGTAAATTTAATAGAAAAACAAATTGACAGAAAGTAATTGTGAATATTTCAGAATTGTTTTCATATTGGTAATAAAACGAACATAAAATATTAAAATATATATTTAAACAGAATTTTAACTCCAGAAAGTCGAAAGAGTGAAACTTCAATCACAGATTACAGAGCGTTGTTTAACAGAAAGTGATAACGTAGACCTTAATTTTACAGAAAATTAAATTCGATTAAGTTTAAAGCGTGAAGTATATTTACATAAAGTAGTTTTACGTAGGTATAAATATTATTCTTAGTCTTACAGAATAGAAGTGTTCTGATCTGACATTCTAACCGCGTAGGACATAGACCACAATTTTACAGAAAATTTAATCCCTGAAAGTTTAAATTCTAACATTACCTGTACGGCTGTACCGTATGCATAGGTGCAAATAAGGGGTTCAAGGGCTATGGCACTACCTAAGCTTATTCAATATTATTATAATTATTATAGTAGCGCTTTATTCCCCCAAATCACAACGCTATTTGAGGCTATGTCAAACCCCTTAAGAGGACTCCACATGGACATATTATTTGGTTGTCTCCGTCCTACAAGTGCGTAACATATCAAATTTACGCTCAGCGTATAGCGTTTAGCTCTGTTAGTTTAAAAATTAGAGTCAATCGACTTATTATGAAACTTGATGGTAAGAACATTATCTGTGTTCTTATGTTGGTTTTTTACGATAGTTCAATTTTTTTGCAAGTTATGCGTATATAGGTAATTTAGCGTAAATTAAAAATGCTCATTACTCACTTAAAAACTGTATAACCGTAAAAACCAACATAAGAACACAGATAATGTTTTTAGTTCTTACCATCGAGTTTCATAATAGATCGATTCACTCTAATTTTTAAACTAACGGAGCTAAACGTTATCTGCTGAGTGTAAATTTGCTATGTTCCTACCTACGTATATACTTTAAGACAAATCTGCCCTCCAAGCCAAAAGGCATAACCGACAAAATTTGAAAAATGAGTTTATTATAATATCAAAGTATTTGTTATTTTAAGGACATTTTTTTGCAGATTCCTCAGCAAAAATACCTTAAATGCATTAATTGTATAATAAACGTGGTTAAACATATACGTATTTACAAATACATAAATGATACTAATTACTAAGCAAAAAAGCAGTATCAAACACATGCTAACCAAAGTGGCAGTAACTGACCACGACAGTATACGGTAATTTTTCTTAGTATTGGCTCAAATGCTATATTTTCGTTTAGTATTGATTATTATATTTTTCTAGCCGTATCACACAATATCATAATATTATCATAGATTAAAATAATTTATTAACATAGTACGCTGTTCTATGCCACGGTCTTGGATGACCCATCTGTTAAGAGGACGTGATATACCCGCATGTGCTTTCTCTGTCTTACAAGTGCTTAACACAGCAAATTGTACGCTCGGCAAAACATGTGTAGCTCCGTTAATTAAAAAAAATAGAGCGAATTGACCTCATCTTATAAAATCTGAAGGTAAGATTATTATCTAGGCAACCTCATGAGCTTTTTAGTATATTTTAATTTTAAAGCGAGTTATGAGTATTTTAAGATGTACAAACAATCCTCTTAACATTCGGGTTGTTATTAATTCTGTGCAGTTCTGTAGCAAGGGGTAGGCACTGGGGGCACGTCCCCCCCCAACGAATTTTTTTTTTGGCTTGTTTTAAATTATATTATATGTTTGATAAAAATTAAAAGTTAAGGCTGTCGAAAGCGAAGTACTTGAAGGGGTCAGATTTAGGAAATATTGTACATCCATCGTTAGTGCTGCGTGTGTACTGTGTGTGTAGTGTGTGTGATCTCCCCAATCTCTTTATATGTAATTAAGGATAAACGACGGCTAAGATTCTTGGACCTCAGTAACGAACATAAGAGCGGTCACGTCACTATATTTTGTGATAAAAAATTTTTCCTTGTATATGTAACTGAAATAAATGAAAATATTCAGAGATGATAAAGTTTTAAAAATTAATGCTCATTGCAGATATTATGATTATAATTTATATATTATGATCTAAACATTGTATGAAAATACATATTCATTGAAATAAATTTCATATAATGTAAAATGAAATAAATTTATAAATATGGAATTTGTAACATTTTACCTGTTTTTTTTTTTCAAGTTGGTATACAAGTGAATAATAATAAAGTTCAATAAATATATAAAATAATAATAATACAAATTTAACGAAACTTAAATGACAATATTATATAACTGCAGATGTACCTGACCTATAACTTCCACGTGAATCATAAAGTGCAATGATATTCTATACGTTAAATGTTAATCTAAAAGTGCAATGATATTCTAGGTTATTATAGTTTATTAGTTTCACAAAGTCAATTGCGGAAATTAATTTTCAGGTTCGTCTGATGTCTGCGTTGCAGGTGTTATTAGCTGATCGTTTTCAACGTCTTCAGCGACTGCAGGAGTGGATAGAGTCGTCACTTGAATCCTATTAGTTTGACCATATGATGAAGTCTTCGATAATACACCGATCGAATAAGTGGAACCGGGCTTCAAATCGTTTATCTGAAATGTGTCATACTATAATCAGTGGCACCCAACCCTATTTCTGAGTGCACGATTGCTACACCTTGAAAATAAGGGGTGGGTGGGTATAATAACAAAAAATAATAAACTTGAAATATGTTCATAATTAATCACAGATTATATTGGTTGATACCTTAATATTTAGTAATATTATCAATACAAATATGATAAAATGTATAAAATAATAGTACATGTATATATACAAATATACATTGATATTATTTCATTGAATTAAAATTTAACACTATCCATTACAGTGACCCACTTGTAACCTACCGTACAGCAGAGTGACACCCACTTGCCCACCTTTTCCAAAAATATTTATAATAATATACTTGCCTACGTATATTATTCGTTCCGCGATCGAACGTAAATCTACAAAAAAGTTGTAACTCATAATTACCGTGCAGTTGTAAGTTGGGAGTTCTTCTGTTATCTGAATCTCCAAATCCGGTTGGCTATCACAGCATTTATCGATGTCTTTAGAGGAAATCTCTTCGGTGTTCACTATGAACGATTTCAGCACGCCGTTGAATACCCATGGTATGTCCCATGCCAGTGATATGTGCGTGGAGCCTACGTCTGTTGTCCTGAGATTTTCCGGTTTATCTGCAACTGTTTTTATTTGTTGTTGAACATATTGTTATTTATATTTTTGAGACCTATACCAAGGTATATTATATACTTACACCCGTCGCTGAAATTGCTGACGACCGATGCCGTAAAACCACCTGTGGGATAGTCTATCGACTTGGCTTTTATCTATATATAAAGTACACAATATCACGAAATTATATAAAATACTTATATACTAAAATCTTAATTCGTTGAATAGTATTATACTTTTATGGTGTATTGGTGGTTTGGTATTAGGTTCTCAAAAGTAGTGCAGTATAATTTTGGCCAAACAACGCATCTTTCGGGTTCTATGGTAATTTGCTTTGTACTATTTATATTCTCGTCGATTGCGCTGATGATAAAACCGTTGACGATGTTTTCATCAGGGTAACTCCATCTGATTCCAATCGATTTGCGCTTCAAGTTTTTCTTGTAAACTATTAATTCGTCCACAGGTTCTAAAACTGAAATGTAATAAAAATAATGTATAATATAATATGTACATATTGTTACGATTTTACGTATAGTAGGTATAAATAGTACATCCAGTGGTGTGTTCATAGGTTGGGGGGGAAGGAAATTGCAGTAAAACTATTTTGTAGCATTGTAGGCTGTAGAAATATTTATAGCAATAGAAAACCTAATTACATTTAGTAATGGTTTTGAACGGAATCAATAATCCTTGTTCTGAGTTGTATCCATAATTCGTTAGTACGTATATTTGCAGTTCATATTTGGTGCTGGGTTTTAATCCATCGTAGTTCACCGTGTTTTGTGTAGTCAAGTTTGATACTTGCGTGCCCTCGACAATATCCTATACATTATAATTCGATATAATATATTTTTAAAATTACATACAAGTCAATTTACGTTGCTGATATATGGAACAAAATAATCACAACATTTTAAATTTATATGTAGGTATTGATATTAAAAAGCTACCAATATAGATGCTATAATTATACGAACTTTAAGTATGACTTGGTATCCTTGAAATAAACCATTTAGTTTAGAACACTCGGTCTTGTTTATCGTCCAACTGAAGTATGCGCTTTGATTGGTTATGTATGAACCATTTGCGTCATTGATCATTATAGGTGTTAATTTTGGATCTATAATAATATGATCAATTTATCAGATATTATTAATAATTTTGAATATTATGTTCAATACTGAAATTTACGAAAACTACTAACTAGAGATAGGCGTTTTTACGAAAATAATATTAATATTGTCGTTGTAAGTATATCCTTTAATTTTGGGGTCAACTTTTACAACATACTGTGTGTTCGGTATCAAATCCAAAATTTCGATTCGCGTCTGATTGTAAGCTAATAGCGATGTCCAGATATTTGTTATGACTTCGCTTGAACAGCTAAAATGCTTATTGATCTAGTCATATAATTGAAAATATAAAGTTCAAACTTTTTAATATAGTAATTTACAGTATAAACGTATTGCCTGCCTACCTTTAAGTTATTAAATAATTAAATATAATATTTTATAATATGATTATCATACCTTGTATTTAATGTTATAATGTAACGGCGTATTTGCATATTTTTCGTCAACATCCCACGTTATTACCAATGATGAACTTTGGTTTAGTTTGGCTTTTATGTTTTTTATTTGCACAGATCCTACAAAATGAGTTTGCAAATTAACGGCGAAGTACGGTATAGTAGGTGTCAAGAGGCTGTAATGAATGGGTTAAATTTGAATTCAAAGGTATAAAATAATTTGAGAGAAAAGGGTCTGTCATCCTATAATAAAACTAAGTACCTATGATATGTATATTTTATGATATTATGGTGAATAAAGTAATTTTTTTGCTTTTAAGTATTCTGCCGTGCTTAGCGAAAAAGCAGTATCTCCATCTAAGCAAAATGTTGGGAAATCGACTAAACAGATTTAGACCCATTACTGATCCGTGCACCAAGTATAATTAACATACAATCCTAAAATAAACGTGTATATACTAATTTTATATCATAGAATTGATTTTATGAGTTTTTAAACATTTTCGTTAATTCCTTGACCATCAAAATGGACTTACTGCTTATTTGATAAGCACTATCAGAAGCAAATTTACAGTATATCCAGTATAACATAGCCTAAAAATAGAATATTTGTTAATAATTCAGTATTCCATCAAATTGATAATGAACATATCAGCTGTGTGACCACGATTGATATACCTTTAATATAAATCTGAAACCGTGGTTGTGACTACAGAATATAATTTATACACCAATATTATCAAATAGTAAATACGGAGATACTGTGTTTTTAGTTACTGTTAGAATATTTTGAAAATAAGCAAAATAACAGTAACTCCACGTCACTTACTGCTTATTTGCTACTTATTGGGATTTACTGTATTTTTGCTTCTAGTTTCACAAAAATTATGGACTTACTGTTTATTTTCTTAATTTCAAATGCTCATTTTCAATGTTAAATATTGGATATACTGCTTTTTCACTGCGAAAAATGGTACAAAATCACATTGTTAACCCCCGTATAGCAATATCTCAATTTCGACCAAAATTGGAGATACTGCTTTTTCGCTTAGCACGGCAGTATTAGTCATTACTCATTACTCATTAATACTACAGTATAAGTCAAATTAATTTTCACCGTAACATTTGAAAATGGCGTTGTATGTATAAAATATAATAATATATTATTATATACATAAAAGTACTTAAAAGTTTCAATAAATTATACCCACGAATAATATTTTTAATTACAACAAAATTACTAAAATCTTTGATCTCCGTTTAAATATCTAATCTCGCCAAATTTTTAACTTAAATATCAATATATGTAACAAAATATCGTATATAATATATTGTTCAGATTTTTTTATCAGTATGAACTATAAGCATCGTTGTTATAAATATTCAATCTTAAGATATAAAAATTGAACATTTTATAAATTCTTAAGTACAATAAAATGTGTGAATTTTCGAGATTTTTATGAATTTTGTAAATATTTGAATTTTAAATACTTGAATATAAAAACCGTGACGAATGCCTATGGATATTCATACTGGTAAAAAAAAAAACTGAACAATATAAATACACGATATTTTTGTTACATATTGATATTTAAGTTCAAATTTTGACGATATTAGACATTTAAACGGAGATCAAAGATTTTAGTCATTTTGTTGTAATTAAAAATATTATTCGTGGGTATACTTGAAACTTTTAATGTATATATTATTATATTTACTATTTCTTAACTGCTATTATAAAATTGTTTTGCCTTATTGAGGGACTTTGTATTAAATATAAATGCATTTCGACTCCTAAGGTTAGATTAGTTAGGTCACCTCAGTTTTTCCGTAATATTTTGTTTGTTTTTCGTTACAAGTTTGAAAACTGCTGGGAATTTTTACTTTTGACACCCCCAAAGCTCTAACTAGATTTACTTTCCCATCAGAAAAATGCTGAAGTAGAAAATCGAAACATTTTCAATGTCTCAAAAGGTGATTACAGATTCAAAATAAAAACCAACATCCGCTCAGAATTTTAAAATTATGTTTCCTCAAATGTTGTATTACATACCATAAGGCTCGGTGTAAATATATGATATTTCAGATGATTTAGCCTGACCCGTAGCTGATATTGCTGTTACTTGAACTGAGTATTTTTCACCATATAGTAGATTTTCAAATACATATCCATGATTATCATTGGATATTACTTCTTCTGAAAAACCTTGTTGCTGTAGAGGTGTGTTCACCATCATAAGTTTCAACAAGTACCCTGTTATATAGCAGTCTTCTTCATTTTGATCATTAAGCTACATGATTACAGGAAATATCAAAGATATTAACATAATATAATATATTGTTTCAAACTCAACTATAAAATATAATAACTATAAGTCTCATGCAGAAACACTATAATATGCAATTTTATTTTAGTTGTTTACCTTGTTCCAAGTAACATTGATGTAGTCTGTACCACTCAATAAGCTTACACCATAATTTATATTTCTTGAAACTATAATACAAAGAAAAATTGATGTAATTGATTGTACTATTATAATATTTTGTTTTAAAATGTCATTAATAGTTTTAATTATATTTTAGTTATTGAGTATTATGTATACATAGGCACTTGGTAGTGTAATTGACTATTTTGATATCCTCTATGTTGGAATTTCCATCTTCTGCAACTATTATCACACCGAAGGAGTATGATATTCCTGGTTTCAGATTGTCTATGATTTCTGTAACGGAATTTTGTTGTTTGATTTCTTTTAGTTCCAATTGTTTGAATTCTGATTCATTTGAAGTGATCTATAAATTTGGAGAAATATGTATAATTTTTTTATTGGTGTTTGAGCATCGGCAACTATGTGACCATTATCTTTTGTGTGGAGTTACGGTTAGTTGAGAACATGTGTTTATGTGGGGCAAGGATTCGTCACCGAGAACCTTGGTAGTCACCTAGTCCAGTATACGTCCACGCCACACCAGACAAACATAAATATTATAAATGTACCAAAAAAGAAGTATTCCAATTTTATAAATGAACAAAAACCCCGGTAGGCGTATATTGGTTAATCTTTTAAAATATTTGTTTGATGTTATTCAACTGTTATACTTACTATAATTGCATATTACAAGCCTTATCCCAAGTTTTTTAGTTATACTTTGGCTTGTATTATTAACATCGAAATTGTATTATTTTGATAGTTGTCATAATATTGTTGTTATTGATATAATGACTT